CTATCAAAGTATATAAAAGCTATACATATCATATCTCTATAAGAGAGTGTTATTGACTTTTATACTAAAAGATGTAGATGCATGTGGTCCATTTTATTATCAAATAAACTTCCAAAACTCTTTGCTTTATTTATCTTATCTATCAAATAGTTGTGTAATTGACAACATAGAATCTTTAAAAAGTGGAAGCTCAACTTTTCTATAAAGATGATATATACTAAATTATAAATTCAATATTATTAGTAATATGATTTTTTCATCCATCTAATATATTGCTTTACAATATAAGTATTAAAATTCTATATTTTCAACTTTATAATGACCTTTCAATATATCTCTTCTATTAAGATGTTCAAGAATAAGTTACTCCACTTATTTACCAATTTTTCATGTCCTATCATATTTTTTTACTTCTTCTTCTCTGTATGTATGTAGAATTTTTTTTTTCCTTATTATATGGTAATATGATTATATGGTGAAAGGAGAAAAAAAAAAAAAAAAAAAAAAAAAACTATCTTATAAAAAAAATTTAATGAAAATACTTTTATAAATTATTTTATAAATATAAATAATAGACAAAGAAGTAACAAAAATTAATAAATGTTAATGGTACCTTTTTGAAGAAGAGACTTTTATTTACTTTGTAGAGGCTTAAGTAATCCAAATCAAAGTAAATAAGATAAATAATTAATATAAGAATTTTTAAGATGAGGTTAAAAATAGGTTTTAATAAAATTTACTTCAAAATATGAAGAATTGATATCCAAAGAGGAAAAGTTGTGAACTTAGGTCAAAATCAAAACTTGAGGCATAAAATCATGTAGTTATGACAATTCTAAGGTTCTTTGGTTGATCAAAGAGTGGAATTGAGAAGAAGACTTATGAAAGGATTTTTAAAAATTAATTTCATGTGATTTGAAGGCACATTGAGGTTTTGAATGCTTTTCAAAGTGAGAGATGTATTCAATACATTTGGATATTGAGAAATAAAAAGAAGTTTATAAATTTGAAGATTATGTGAATGTTGTAGCATATTTATAGTTAAAAAAATTTCAATCTATCATTGTACTTATTTTAAATGTGTGTACAAAATTTGATATCAATTGAATATTTAGATTAAAAGTTGTGAGAGTTTTTGTGAATTAAGGTCTTAAATAATTGAAATTTAGGGTCTATGAAGGTTTTTATGATCTTTCAATTGTTGCTAGTTTAATTGATGCAAAAATTGGTGAGAGCCATTTTGACTTAGAAATTTATACACCAATCAAATTTTGAAGCAATTGAATATTTCAACAAAGAAAAATCGTTGTTAGAAGATCATTATTTATATTAAAAAAAGAAGGCAGCCAACATCCAAAGGATTTTGGAAGCTTTGCTTTAAATTAGTGAATTTGATTCTTCTTAATTTTTTTGTGTTTGTTAATTATATATAGATTGAAATTTGAATAAAATTTTAGTCAAGGTCAGTGATTCAATTAATATTTACTGAGGTTTTAAATTAGCTATTGTAATTGATTAATATTTACTTAGGATTTTTTTGGAGTTGTTCAAGATTTAATTTGAATTTGATTAAGATTTGGTCAAGATTTTATTAGGATTTATTTAGGATTTATTAAGATTATTTATAATTATTTCAATCTCATAAAATTTTATTTAAGACTATATTAAGATTTATTTATATTTTCTATTTTTAGTATATCTTTAAGATTCATTGTCATTTCTTTAAAGATTTTTATTTTTAATATTTCTTTAAGATTAATGTTATTTCTTTAAGATTTTTATTTTTTGTATTTTTATTAGAATTTCTTTATTATTATTTTTTGAAGTTAATTTATGACTTCTTTATGTTTTTTTTGTAATTTTTTTAAAATTTCTTTTGAATTTATTAAAATTTGATCAAGGCTGTTAAAGATTACTTAGAATTTATTTAAGATTCTATTAGACTTGGTAAGATCTTGTTGTTGCATTTTTCTATTTACCTTCTATAGCTACATGCCTGGTGCATTTCCAAGGAAGAATTCATATTATACAATACCGTATCTTTTGTCTTTGTCTTCTATTTTTTAATGATTCATAAGATAAACAATGTCTCTACAAGCACTATTATTTCCATTAATTGTAATACCATGTCCTCCTACATTATATTCATTCAATTGTACACATTTTCATATTGTAACATGGCTATTAGGTGAAAAAATATATATATATATATATATATATATATATTATAAAAGATATTAATTTAAAATATTTTAGCAAATTATCTTAGAAGTATAGATAATAGTCAATGAGATAGTAAAACTAGAAAGTACTAATATTGTCTTTTTACAAAATGGACTTCTATTTATTTTGTATGGCCATAAATGAAATAAATCAAAGTAGGTAAGAAAAAATACTGATATATGCATCTTTAGAAAGAAGTTAAAAGTAGTTTGTAGTAAAAATTACCTTAAAATATCAAGAATTTATACGAAGAAGATTGGTTGTGAATTAGAATTGAAACTAGATTCTAAGGCATAAAACTATGCACCCTTAGTAAATTTAGAATTTTTTGTTTAATCAAAGAGCAAAATTTGAAATAAAACTAAAACAAGATTTTTTCAGCAATGATGTAGAATGATTTAATTTTGTAATGACTTAGTAAAGGCTTTGCAAAATCAAGATTATTTTAAGGTGACTTTGATTTATTGAAAAATACAAAGGATTTATACTTTGAATTTTTTTGTATAATTAATAATTGATTTATAGACAAAATTTTGTGATTGTGTGATCATAGTTGTATTAAATATTTTTTATTAATTTAAACTTGATCAAACAATATATTTGAAGGTAATTGAAATTTAAGAGAATTAAGATCTTGAAAATTGTAGTTTGGAGAACCAATGAGGGATTCTAAGATTTTCATCAATTTATTTTTTATATTGAGACAAATATTTTTGCGCTAATAGCAAACTTGATTTTTAATAATTTTGCAAAGTTTGAGATCAATTAGATAGTGATATCAAGTAATATTGGCACTAGAAGATTAGCATTATAATTGAAGAAGGGAGTTGGTTAATATCCAAGCAGATTATGAGATTTATCTTTTATTTGGTAAGCCCAATCTTCAAATGTTTTGTGGTCGTTTTCAATTAAGCAATTGAAAGAAGATTCTTTTTTGAATTAAAATCAATAATTAAATTATAATATATAAAGGTTTTAATTTATTATAAGCTTTGTTTAAGATTTAGGATTTGATTTGGATTTAATTTAGATTTAATTAGGATTAGAATTTTGGATTTTGGATTTGATTAGGATTTAAGATTTAAGATTTAATTAGAATAGGATTAGAATTACATTAGAATTTGATTAGAATTTGATTAAAATTTGATTAGAAGTTATTTAGAATTGAATTAGAGTTTGATTGGATTTCAATTAAAATATATTTAAATTTTTTTAAAGATTATTTTAAAATTTATTAAAATATGATGAATTATTAAGGAAATTTTAAAGTTATATAGAATATACTTAAATTAATTATAAGCTTACTTGGGTTGTTTGAAGATGGAAAAGGATGTAACTAAATATCTTACATATTTTTTTGAATTATGAATCAAGCTTAAAGGTAAATTCAAACTTTCCTACTACTAGATACTTAGTGCATTCTTAAGTTAGTTTTCACATAATACAACAATGTTCTCCAATATGTTCTCATCCCTTTTATATTTGTTGTTCAATTGCATGACAATTGCATATAGGTGCAATATTATTCTAATCATTTCTTGGTACATATAAGACCTTTAATCCTCTCTCCTTTGCTCTTCATCCATCTACACTTATTTTTCAACGTGTTCATATGCTCTTTATCTCTTTTGTCTAATAGCTCAATGATTAACAACCTCAAGATTGCTTTTGGGAAAGTTTCCATGATTGCTATCAACTAGTCCATTGTTCTTTGTTATATCTTCCTTTCTAAACTCTCTTCTATAATTTTTTTCCTAAGCAAATTTCTTTGTTTTTTCATGTCTTGTATTTATAATAGTCAAATGTAAAAAAACTCACCTTTTTCAATTATTTGAATCAAATATTAGATTTCCACAATCACTAAATGTACATGTGATCAAATAATGAATAATGGCTTTATTTGTGCAATCAATTGTAAAACAACAAATAGTTTCTTGTTTTCTTTTGCCATGATTTGACCTTTTGCATCCATTTGTGGTAAATTTGCTCATATTTTTATTGAAGTTCTTATAGTATAATAGTATATTCATCAAACAAAGCTACTAGGGGTGAATCCATTAACATTGGTGAATCTACCAATTTTTATGTACTTAGTGATCTACCTAGCTGCCAAGTAATGCCTTTCTCCACAACACACATAATACAATGCAAGTACTACCAATTCTGTTCTCTTTAGATGCATTAGAATCAGTTATGTTGTTCTTCTAATGCACATCAAGAACCTCAAACTATAAACATACCTCACAAATAACTCCTAATCACATGTACACATGGTGATATTTTTTAGAGCCTTGACAAAGCTAGAATAATAAACAAAATATCATAGAAAAATGCATGTTTACAGAGGAGATAGAATTGAGTTGAGCAACTGGTATTATTTATTTGTTCATCATGTGTATATGGTTAAATAGATAATTATGCAAGGCTTTTTGTTAGTGGTTATAACAATGATTTCTTTAATTTTGGCCAATGAGAAAGCTTCTTTACATCTTTTATCTTATACATCAACTGTTTTATTATATAAATACTACTCATCATAAAATTTGGTAAAACTAAATGTCTTCTCTTCCAAGTCTTTAGTCTATACAGATATTTTAAATGTTGTTGAGTGCACATAAGTACAACTTGAAACATTTTTTTTGAGAACAGCTAGTTGGATAACCCCTTTTACTGCGTAGATACCCCCGTGCAAGTTTCAACGCTCCTACATACTCGAAAAGAAAAGAACCGACAATACAAAGCTAGGATGTAAAAGCAGTGTTAGGTGAATAGAACGATGCACTTCAAATCCAACGAGATTCCAAGAATTAATATTAAAGGCTTGCAACACAAGCGTGCAACAGAGGACAAGCCCATGCCATGTATTCCTCTGCTAATAAATGCTATAGTGAATTCTCTGAAGAAAAATAAACAACCCAGTCATTGTTGCCCTACCTTGAGACAACTTTACTCTACAACATGCAAGAAGTAGCTCAGCACTTCACGCATAAAGCCTACACTTCCGCCCGTTATCACCATCTGCTATTCCATGATACACAATTTGTCTGTCACTGCCTTGTAGCTCCTGCGTCGTCTCTTCTTTGAGACAGACTCCATTGCTAGAAGTTTTAGATTGCTATGCAAAACAAGTGAAATGAGAAATTTCAGCTCTTCCGTTTGTGGAACTTGTTTCGATCTCAATCTCGGAGTACGATTGGATTGCAAAATAGACTTGCGCAACTATTGCTTCACCGACATGCGGAGGAATTGTACGCTCAACTTATCGCTTGGAAACTATCTCCTGCGGAGGCAGAGCATATGGAGCCAATTCTCCAATTTCTGGATGATCACCCTACAAAGCACCAAAGGCATGTGCATGATAATGAGTTGCCGAGCAGCTGCACATGGTATTGATAAATATTATCATGAATAAATGCCACATAGCAATGACTCAATCTTCAGGATAGTCAGAAGAAAAGAGAAATACCAGCAGCTGCGATACATTCCACTCGTTCCGGAAGAGCAAAACTGGTCGTCCCCACTACACAAATACAAACACATAGTACTCTCGTTAGACGAAATAATCCCTTCACACTTGCCCCTAGTAGCAGTTGATGTCAAACCAAAAGTCGGGGACGCTCTGTAACTCTGATCCAATCGAAAAAAATGGTTACTGGGACAAGTGTGATATTTTTGGTTCTTCAAAAATATTTCATTGTAAATTAAAAGATGGAAAATCTTAACCATCGTAGCCTCGGAAGAATTATAAACAAGGCAAATCTATTAACACAATCCAGCAGTGTCAAGCTCGTATTTTTAATAATTCAACACTTCCACAAACGTTCCACTAAGCACGTAGACAAAATTACCGCAGTTTGCAATGCAATGGACGACCCTCATTTCGGTGCAGTGCATAGCTTACCTGATCTTTTACTGTTGAGCAATTAAAGATGCGACCAACTTTTTCGAGAGCAGGCCACCCACCCGTCACCCACCTAGCCACACTGAAGCTCAATGGTTCAAGCTGCGTCTCAACTCCATATTCGGATAGCATTCTGTATTGCACAACCTGCAGAAGGACGGAACAAACTGAGATTGAGTATTTGAATTGCTTACGCTCAAATCTTCCAAAATGTCCTTCACAGCAACGACTAAAAGAAGTCAATTACATTTACTGTGAACCGCATGTATACCTCAAACTGCAACTGCCCCACGGCTGCAAGTATAGGATCTGTCCGCCCAGAGTCGACTGAATACAGCACCTATTAATGGTACAGCACAGCACAATTAGAAATCTTAAGGAACTCCAATGGACAACACCTAAAGATGGCATGCTAAAGACATTGAGTAAAGCGTACATAATTCGAAAATTAGTAGAGGGTGTCTAGACAGAAAGGAAAAAGTATCTTTACCTGCACAGCGCCTTCACCCAGAAGTTCATTAAGACCCTTCACGAATTGTTTGTACTTGGATGGATTGGGATTGCGCATGTAGCAGAATAGCTCTGGAGAGAAGGAAGGGATTCCTGGAAACATACGTTTTGGCCCAGTGTATATGGTGTCCCCTATGCAGAAAGCGTTTGGGTTGTTGAGACCAACAACTGCAATTAAACGGAACACCCAGCACACATGCTTAGAACTAGAGTGGATTTTGACACGATAGCCCCTTTTAAAAAGAAAAAAAAGAGTGAAATCGAAACAATTCCTCGCAACTACTACATGTTATGATTAATGTGTAGAAAGTCTAAACCAATGACTTTGTCATTTGAAAAAGCAAAGGCATACCATCTCCAGCATACGCTGCCTCCATAGTAGTCCGGTCTTGTGCGAACATCTTCTGTGGTCTCGTTAAAGCGAGTGTCTTCCCATTTCTAGCTATTTGTACTTTCATGCCCTTCAAGAATTGACCTGCAACCAAACAACGCAGTTTAAGTAATTATGAACACGCAGGTGATCCCCTGCTCGGAAAGATACTCACATCTATAAAATTAAAATCTCACTAAAAGCATGACTTAGGTTGTCAGCTAGCCCTCCATTCTACGATGATGACGGTTTCAGTTTTAAGAAATGCTTGGACTAACCTGAACACACACGCAAGAAGGCAACCTTGTCACGATGCTTGGCATCCATGTTTGCTTGGAGCTGCAACAACATCACAAAAGCATTCAGTAACTTCATCAAAAGTAGCATGAAAGCACAGACTAAGCGAAATACTAATATGAACCAAATGAGGGACTTCAATCATTCTCTTACTTTGAAAACAAATCCAGTAAAGTTTGGATAATCAGGTCCAACTTCTCCAATATCACTGACGTGACTTCCGGGCTGAATCGAGTACTCCAAAAAGCTTTCAAGAAAAAGCTCCACCTATAGTATGAAACAAAGAAGACCTCAAGTTACTCATCAAATCAAGTGCATAATAATGATGATTAGTACCGAAACCATGTGAGAACCCATCTTAAATCCTCGGATAATCTGTGAGTCTTAACTAGGCCTACAACAAATCCATATACCCTTCATTGATAAGTTTTTAAACTTCAAAACATTGGTAGAATGGCCCCTCCAAATTACTTTATGATCTGAGCAAGCTAATTGCTTGAATAGCCAACATCATGATCAATCGCAAAGCCATCGTACTATACTTTAGAACCGTGCACAATCAAGATGGAAAACCAAGATTACACAGGGTATTTAGAATCGAACTGCCACGAAACCTACCCCAAAATTATTCATCGCACTGCCAAAATAGACAGGAGAGATATCTCCAGAGTGGATCTTGGCCATATCTAGAGGTGGTGTCAGTTCTTCAAGAAGCTCAATCTCTTCCTGCACCATTCAGTTCGTAACCTTCATTATCTCGAAAAGATCAATGCAAACCTGTCATATCAAAGTACCGTAACTCTATACAAGGATGGAGAACTCAAAGAAAAATGCAACAGACCTGTAACTGCTCAAAAAGATCAGTAGCAATAATTTCTTGAAGAGCTGGATCTCCCCACGGTAGTACTCGCACAGAAGCACCACGACTACCATGCTTTATGCCTTTTTCGAAAAGATGAACTTCGTTACGAGGTCGATAATAAACCCCAACGAACCTGCCACAAAACGATGCATCCGCAAGCATTGTCAGCGGAGAGTCTGAGTTGCATTCTCTGACATACTTGGTGGAACATTCGCAATAAAATAACAATATGAGAAAGTTCAAGGAGACAATCAAGTACCTGTCACCTGATCCAATTGGCCAATTTACTGGATAAGTAGGCAAATTGAACTCTTTCTCGATCTGGTCCATGAGCTCTAATGGTTCAAGTGCAGGACGATCCATCTTATTAATGAAAGTAAATATTGGCAACTTTCGCATTCTGCAAACCTGGAGGATACATGAACGTGAATTGAACAGGAACATTTAGAACTTGTATCCTATACGAAAGCCCAAAAGGTCAATGACAACCGAAACCTTTTTCAAACCTAACTATGACAATTACAAAGAGGAACAACATAGGGTTCGATGTAGAATCACCCAAAAATAAGATGTTTAGGAAAAATTCAAAATTCCAAATTACGGTGGCAAGGGAAGAGCGACAGGAGATCAGTGAAAGAAGTCTTTGAAATCCTCGAAAACCAACGCACCTCAAAAAGCTTTCTAGTTTGTGGTTCCAAACCCTTTCCTGCATCCACCAGCATGACAGCATTGTCGGCAGCCGCCAAAGTTCTGATCAGAACAAAGCCCAAACAGTAACAATTGTCAGAAATCATTCGGACTAAGTCACCAACAGATTCCGGTTGAAAGAAAGGTTCCTCTACAAAAATAGTGACAAACATTTTCCCCTCCGGCATTGAAATGTCTTGCTTCAACGACAGCGAAAGGGTAACAAAGCGTACCGATATGTATCTTCACCAAAATCTTGATGTCCTGGGGTGTCCAGCAGAGTTATTTGGAAACCTCTATTTTCGAAGACTAGTGCAGTCGATGTGATGGAGATACCTGAACAAATTCTAGACGCTCGAAATGATTAGCTTATAAACACATGAAGACCTCGATATCCGTATTCAAATTTGCAGCCGGATGTCATGTTATAATTCTCCACAGAAGCAGAAAGAGTTTAACAAACCGTACCCCTCTGCTTCTCAAGTTCCATCCAATCTGACGTTGCGTGACGAGCAGATCTGCGTGCTTTGACAGCACCAGCCTCGTGAATGGCACCTCCGTACAGAAGCAACTTCTCAGTCTGCAATGTTATACGATAGGAATCAAAACAAAAAAAAAAAAAAAACAACGCAGGCAGTGGACTTTGAACTTCACAGCACAACCAGAGTGAAATTCAACAAAACGTCTCTGACATTTCAAACTTCGCAACGGCGATGCTGCATCACAGCGTTTGATTCAAAAAGATTAAAAAAAATAAACAAACAAACAAACAAAACAAAAAAAACAAAAACAGTAAATAAATAGAAACAGGTGTGGTTCTTTGAAACCTACTAGGGTAGTTTTCCCAGCATCTGGATGGGAAATAATTGCAAAATTGCGTCGCCGAGCTACCTCCTTTGCCAACGCTGCTGGGGAAATACCACCGTCATTATTATCTGCCCCTTCACATGAATCTTCATCATTCACATCTGCTCTCACGCTATCCTCGTCTCCAAGCTCAATTCCTTCCAATCTAGGTGTATCATTCTGCAATTCAAGTTCTCCTGAAATGCTCTGGATTTCAGCTGTCTCTTCGTCAGACAAACTGGATTCCTGAAGGGTGACGGGTTCATCAGCTAGGTCAGCTAGAACTGAGGGCTCAGCCAGAGCTTTTGCCTTGCCGGAAACTCTAGCTCTATTCTGCGAATGTTCGGAATCAATGGCCTGCTGGTGAGGTTGCCCAGCAGTGGCTGTCACGACTGCAGAGGTCTGTCGTCGTTGAACCCTGAAAGCCTGGGCGTAAACATTCGCATCTAATGACAGAGTACGTAGCTCGGATGCTTTCGGCGGCTGGAGAGCCCTAGACAATGAGGTTGAGGGGACGCAACTAAAGGAGGCCACACTAAAGACCGCCATATCCTCTAAAACAGCAACACTATCAAAAAAATTCTTGAACTAAACCGACTTGCACGGAGTTCTTCACCTCACAATCCCAATGAAGTAGCGCTACTGCATCAATTCGCGCTACAGCTATTCAACTTATTGTCCAACTCCCCTGCAAAAACTCACTCGATTACTTTCCAAACTACTGAGAGATGCTCACTGCTGGACTATTCGACCACTCCACTCGAACCATTCAGTCACGGCTCATGAATTGAACAAGTAACATGAACAAATACTAACAAGCCAATTCAAAAATTCGCCTATTGCCGAGGACGGGGCTCGTAATCTCAGCAAACTCTACACTCTAAAAAACAAGCTGAGTGCTATTCACTGCATTCGCAACCCTTGCAACCACCGCCCTCGGAGAAAAACAACACCAAGCTTGAGGCGAAACCAGAATTGGTAGGTGATGGAGGAGCAGGAGAGACTAACGGCAGCCAACAGGGGCCATGATCTGGAGGGCAGAGCTTCTGAACCAGGAGAAATGGCTTTGCGAGGATTGTGACGAAGAACGGCGATCAATCCAGAGGCCACCATCCCATGGACGTGGATGCAACACAGCGGTCCGACTCAGCCTTGTCTCCCCGCCACGTCGGACTAAAGCGTTGGTGATTGTGTAGGGCCTGAGTGTACGTGGAAATCACTTGTATAGGTGGAATCGTGCATTGGAAACACTACTAAAGACTTTTTGGAATCATTGGGAATCTTTTAGAACCTTCTACATTCTCAAGGAACCTTCTACAACCATCTAGAATTTTCTTTTATTATATGTTTGTGACACTACTATGTCATATAGCATGATTTTCTATCTAGGAATACACTAGGTACTTCATTATAGACAGTTTAGTTTTAATTTATTGGCCAAATTCCAATAAGTGATTTATTCTTATTATAGAAGATAAATAAATGTAATAATATAGAAAGATATTCTAGTAATAAAAACCTTTTATATTTAAGAAGGTTTGTATACAAGGCTTTCTAAAGTATATAAAAATGCCCTAACATCCTTTGCTATACCAAATCATAACTAACTATTTGCCAATAAGTTAAATTTCCCATAAGTCCAAAGAAAATCCATAATCTCCTTATAAAAATCTATCTTTATATCATAAATTTTCCATAGCTCTATATTTCCATCTTTAACATATATACAAAGTCTTGGCTCTCCAAAACCCTTTTACTTTGCATAAAATGCCTAAATTGTAGCAAAACCTTTTCAAAAAAAATTTCACTTGTAAAGGATTTTTTTCTCCTTGAATTTTAGAATATTATATCTCTTGATCCAAGTGTTCAATTTTTCTGAAATTTCTAGAAAATGTAGCATTAATCCTATAGCTTTACCACAAAAAAAATGAGCCATAAATCTACTACAAATCGTTTGGCATCTTAGAAATCCTAGAAGGTGCTCTAAACCCTAATTTACAAGCACCTAAATATTATTTTCTTCATATATCAAAAATACAAAATCCATATGCCACAAAATTTATAATTTTGTATTATTATATTATAAATTATGTATTATGTAGCTTTATAATATAATAATACACATTTGTGAAAACCAACGATTTGGCCAAATGCCCAAGGTATAGCCAAAACTAAATCCCTCATGAAATTAATTTATTGAAAAATTTTAATTTGGAAGTGTTGTCTTTAAGCAATCATTGTTCTTCCAAATTAATTCTAAATTCTTTATTTTTTGCATGAAAAATATAGCTCTTTCAATCAACTTTTTAATTGCACAATCTGATCCTCAAAAGCTCCTCATACGTGTGTGCTATTCTCCAAAGAGAGATAGTAGGTACAAAATTGATACTTTAATTTTGAGCACCTATGTCTTCTTCATAAAAATTCCAAATCATGTACAATTATCACCAAAACCATATCCAAAACCCTAAACTTGATGATCTTAATTTTTAATGTTTGAATGCCTCAAAAGAATAACCATAATTCCTAATAAGGCCTCAATTAGCCTCCTTGAAGTCCTTTGGGTATGACTTTTGGCCAATAAGAATGGAGATTTTTATCATCTATCTCCATTCATCCATATGGTTGGCCTAACTACCTTTTTTTATAGAAAAATCCCTCTCATATCCTTTTTTTAATAAGTTTTATATAATATTTATCCTAAATACCAAATAAAAGAAATAAAATAAGATTTCAAGAGTCATCAATGTCTAATAAAGGTAGTTTAAATATATAAAAACTATTATCAATATAAAATCAACTTTAATAATAGCCTTTTAAAACTAACTACTTCAAAATAGTAATCTAATAAAATTTTGTAATTAATTAAAATCTAATAATATGACTCTCATTATATTATATAACAAATTATATATAAAATATATATATGCATTATTTTCACATGATAGGCAAACTACAACACAACAATGAGAGTATTCCAAATTATTTCTATTACAATGATATTTAAATAAGAAGATTGAAAAATTAAAATAAAATACAATATGACTAAGTAGATATATTATATCACTCCTAAAATAATAAAAATTTAGCCAATATTTGAAACAAATGATGTACTTCAGATATAATCTTAAACTCTCATTTTTCCAACTTATTAATAAGGTAAAATTCTTAAGTTGCAACTTTTAGTTCTATATAAGAATAAAAGTTGGACTATATATGTTTCTTATCCAACTCTAGCATGTAATGCAGTAGTTGAATTATTTAATTATATATTTTATTAATTACAATTTAAAGAAACTATGTAATATAAGAATCTATCATTTTATTAAATAAGTGCAAAGACTATTCAAATAGTCATACTTATCATTTTGAAATTTTCATATGATTGCAATTTTTTTCATCATTTTTTTTGATGAAAAATAATATAACCATTATTACAAAAAGAACAATACTATCTAAGAAAGAACTTTTAATTATTGGAGTCTTAATGTGTTGATGTATAGATCTATATTTGTACATATATACACCAATGATTAAAAAAGATTTGCCGAATATTGTATACGAAAGAAAAATATTTTCCAAATATTTTACACGTAGTATTTTATATTATAAGTGAACATGATTACATGAGAAAAATAATGATGAAAGAGTACATATTAATTTAGCATGAATCTATGTTTGTTTATCTTCAATTTGAGATGATTTATTGAACCAACACACCATTTGCAACAAATCACTTTTATGTAAATCCTTCAATTTAGAATTTCCACCAAAAACCACCAAGTCCATAATTTAAGGCTTGACTCATTAAGAATTAATAGACTCTTTGTAGATTATTAAAAATATATAATATTATTATTAATAAGTAATATTAATTTCAATAAAGAAGTTGTGATTGATACATTTCAAAATGCCAAATCTATTGAGATATTATTGAATTCCATATAGCTTCAAAAAAACCACATAAAATATTAGATCTAACTTAGAAATATTGAACAAAATCAATATAATTGCTACTACGATAATTCTATAAGATTCACAAAAAATAAAATAAAATAGATGACATATATTTCTTCTACTTGAAGTAGATGCAACAATTGATTTGAAAAATATTGCAAACAATCATGTTGTATATATTTAAAAATTATTATATAAATAAATTCAATTAGTTTTAATTATTATATTAAAACATTCCTATCTATGATATTGTTAAAAAATAAGAAATTGAGGTTAATAAAATAAAAAAATAAGTATGTTTAAAAGATTTTATATTTGTAAATTAACTTACATTGTTTTTAAAGACAAAATATTTTGAGATTGCTCAAGTATAGTTATATTAATAGTTGTGAACTTATTATGAGATATATGCCACAACTCAAGCTTTGTACTTAAATTATTACCACAAATGTCTTAGAAATTTGATTGTAATTAAAATTCCTACTCTAGAATGAGTTTAATTGATTAAAAAAACTTAAAAGTAGCATAAAACCAATATGTTATCAAAAATAATCATAGCTAAAGCTTTGAAATATTTCAAGAATCCTATAAACAACAATTTTAGCAACTTTGGAAATTTTTTTTTGAATTTAAGTTGCAATTCAATACGAATATTATCATTATTTTATCAATCTAAAAAACTTAGACATTTGTTGTGAATTTGTACTATAATACTTACATAATACAAAGAATAAAATCTGCAATGATATCTTGGCAAAACAGTGTTCTGGTAAAAACATTACCAAACAAGTCTCTGCCCAAGTAAGACATATGATGTACATTGAATGCAATAAAAATAAAAATAAAAATCATATAAATTTAATTATCATATATTTATTAACTTAATCTTCAAAAAAGTAAACTTTAAAACTTGTGAAAATGTAGCACAAAATATGTGCAATAAAATATTAAACAATAATTTTTAATTTTAATGAAAAATATTCTAAATGTTATCTACAGAATATACTTAAGATTTCATCTATTAAATATATGTGTATATGTATATATGATTGACCTTAAATAAATGAATATATGAACTTTGTAATAACCACTTCTATGTGAATTTATGAAGATAATAGAGAATAAAGTTATATTTTAAATCATGCTAATTTCTTTATAAAATCTAGCTAACATATGAAAAATTTGTAAGTTGTAACTATAATAACTTTCATTCACTTATAATATATCAATGTATTAGAATGGATTTGATGAAACTGTTATATCCCTAGAGGTTTAGGATTTAGGCTATATATCTATAAAATTATAAAAAAAATAAAATAAAAATAAACAAGTTATATCATAGCTGAATCCAAATCTACACAAATTTAAATTCTCAAGGCTAATGTATGTTATTCTTCTTGACAATAATAAAAACATTAAACAAGAAAACTATTTGAAATTGAGAATACAATGGTGTCATCCTTCAAATCAAATTTTATTTGATTTAACTCAATATCTTTAAATTGCATGTACATTTATTGGACATGCTAATGAATGAACCAAAATTTATTGTACATGCTTAAGAAAACTCTAATTAAGGTCATTTTTTCTTAACATCACAAACTTTACAAGCATATAAGGATTTTTTTAACTAAAGAGAGTTAAAAAAAATAAAAATAAAAAATAATTCTAATGTCCATGCTACAAAGTATACAAATGGTATAAATAGATGGAGTATGTGAAATATATAAGATTTTCAAATATGAATGTTAAATTACAACATTCATAAAGGAAAAATAAACTCTCAAAAACTATTAGATTATGCCACATAATTTGTCATTAATTAAAAAATAAAATGTATATATTAAAATGGAGGTAAAACAAAGTCTTTTATTAATATAGTATTTAACATTTTATATTTAAATTTTTTTATTTTTTTCTTTTCTTTTCTTATATATATATATATATATATATATATATATATATAGATATAGATATATATATTTTTTTCAGTCAAGTATTTGTCTAAGTATATTTATAAGAATTACAAACATATCATTGTCATTATCAAGAATTGTAACAAAATTAAACAATATCTCAATGTTAGTTATGTCTCTACTTTTAAAATATTCTCAAATGTTTTTAGAATATATGGTAGATTTTTGTTTGTTATGCAATTACAAGTTTACTTACTTGTTTAATAATCAATTATATTTAGTACAAATAAAGATATTAAAAAATTTTGTATTTTGGCTTCTGAGAGGCT